CTGTGCAGCTGGAAAAGATCTGTTTGGTTAATAATGGAGGAGGCAGCCCAGGCAGCAGTGGAACCAATATCTTTTAGTATCGTGTGCATCTCCAGGCTTGTATCACACTGAGACAGGCTCTGAGCTGTGTCCTCAGGCTGAATTAAGCTGCTGTTTGCAGGAGAGTTCCAGGAGATTCAGGGTCAGGAGCCCAGTGTGAGATGTCCTGAGCCTGCTTTGCTTTTGTGGGAGTGCAGCACCTCAGTAAGTCAGACCTCCAATTAGGGGGCCAGAAGTTGCACCTCGTACCTCCTGCTGCCTCATTTTTTGCACTCATGAAAGGCAGCGAGACTTGTGTGTGTTGGCAGAGGGCACTGCAGCACTCGGTCACAGCTGTGTTGATAAAGGGAGAGCAGGGACCCGAGACAGCCCTTCTTTGTTGTTTGTGTAACCAGTACTTCCCCAGCAGTCTTGTGGACACAAGCACAGTGGAAAACTCTGGGTCCTGAGTCCCAGCGTTGCTGCAAAGCACTGCTTTGGAGTGGATATACATTAATGATGCCCTGCAGCCACTTTGCGTGGCCAGAGCTCAGCGCTGCATCCTTCAGCATGACGGGGCCTGGGAGGCTCTTTGTCCATCCCCGTTACGAATGCACATCATTAGAGATGCGGCTTTTTTCCAGCAGCTGGATGCTCTTAGGATGATTTTGCAAGCACAAAGCCCGTTTCTCTTCCTCTTAGAGGAACTTTATGTTGCTCATAAAGGGGCCAAAAGCTGCCTTTGGTAGGAACTCTGCGAGTTTTCAGGAATACAAATAGGATCACAGAGCTGCTGGCTGCGCTGTGAAAGCTTTGCCCACGGGAGAAACAAATGTGAAGTTTAATTATTTTGTCGATAGGAATCTCCCATATTACAGAAATTGTCTTCCCTCCCCTTCTAGCCTTGTGCTTTCTTTCCTTTTTTCTCTCTCGCTCGCTGATGCACAGGGCTTCTTTTTTCCTCTAAGAAGGAACAACTGAGTAATTGAAATGGAACACTGGTGAGGATTTTTTAATCTGAAAGTTGGCATTAATTAGTCAGGTCGGATGTAATTAGCTTCCTCATCTGTCACTGCCTCTCCCTGGCTTGTCAATGACTTTCTTCTATCCTGGAATTTATCAGAAAGAAAGAATTATCATGGGTGGTTTGCCTGGTTGGGGTGCAAGCGAGTGACAGCACCCTCAGGGCTGATGGAGTTTGAGCTGGATTCCCCCATCTGCAGGCAGGGGCCAAATTCTTGCTAATCTCAGCCCTCCCAGGTTTGGGTTTGTCCCTTCTGTCTTGCTATCTGCCAGGCTCACAGGAGACGTCATTATTTCAACCCTGTGCTCCATAGCCCTGCAGTGTTTTAAAAGCTTCATTCATTACTCCAGTCAGACTGGGAGGTTGCAGCAAGGCATGAGGGATGCCTTGGTTAAATTGCTGAACAGGGAGTGCAGAGATGGAGGTGTTAGGATCATAGAGTCATCAGTGTTGGAAAAGACCTCTCAGATCATCCAGTCCAACCGTCCACCTGCAGCCAGTGCTGCCTGCTAGCCACGTCCCTCTCATCCTTGGTTCATCCATGACAGTCATCCCCTGGGCTGTGCAGGGCTGATGCCCAGTGTTCAGGCTGAGAGTGGAGCTCAGGTCTGGTGTGAGGTGGCCTCTGTGCTCCTTTGGGCAGCAGAGCCCATTGCTGCTGAAAAAAATAGCTCTGACAAAGAGACCTTCCTTATCTTCTGTCTGGTCCACAGTGCTGCCATGGCCATGAAGAGGCAGAGCAAGTTGTCAGCTGGATCCTGGCGTTGTTGGCCCCTTCTATAAAGCTGTGGGTGTGCCAGTGGAAGGTGTGAGTCTCTTCATGGCCACGTTTCTCTTTTCTGCAATGGCTTTTCTGAGCCCACATCTTCAGGCTTTGTGGCATCTGGGCTGCGTGCTGACACTGCCTGTCAGTCCCAACCCAGAGAGCTCAGTGTGAAGGGTGGTTGTGTTTTCATGTTATCATTTTGGATTTCAGTGAAGCTTTCCAATACTGTTTCTCATAATATCCTTCTGGACAAAATGTCCAGCATACAGCCAAACAAAAATGCAATGTGAAGGGTGAGCAATTGGCTGATGGGTTGGGCCCAAAGGGCTGTAGTAAATGGGGTTACATCAGACTTGGCCAGTCACTGGTGGAGAACTCCAGGCTACAATGGATCCCTAACATGGCTTTGTGGGTTTCTGCCCCATCTGCCTTCAATGGCATGAACTTGGGAAGCTGAACATGCCACACAGGGGCAGTGGGGGGTCTCCAGTTAACATTTACAGGAGGTTTGGCTGCTTGTTCTGCGGGGTCCTGCCTGCTTTTGGAGCAGTTATGTGACCCTTTGCTTAGGAATGGGCAGGGGGAAGTCCAGCAAATCTCAGTGCCTACCCCAGGAGGCTGTCAGAGCCTCTGCTCTGAAGAAAGAGCTTCTGGGAGCATTCTTACCCTCTTTTCCTTCCAACCCAAAAGTAAATCAGAGCTTTAGTTGGAGCTGCAGGATTAGGTGCACAAATCCTGAAAGTGAAAAAGTAATTGGGCCGTGCTTCAGCGTTGGCCATCCCTGGGTAGTATGGGAGGTGGGGGAGGGAAACGAGGCCAGCCCCAAGTAAAATTCGAGCAGAGAAAATGCATTTCACTCCTTCTGGCCGATTTCAGGGTTTATCTCCCCTGCCGATTCCATTTGCAGTGTGTTGGGTTGCAGAAGCTTTCATCCTGACCCAGGCAGGATCTGACGAAGGCGGTAGAACCAGACGAGTCCCAGGGGCAATGCTAAGTGGGCTGTGTCTGGCTTTGCAGCCAAATCATGCGGTAAACTCTTTTGAAGGGAGTTCAGAGCTGTGCTGGAACCAGGGCAGGATGCACACAGATGCACACAGAGCAAGGCTGTCCCCTTCAGGGTAGCACAGCCTTCTGCCAGGAGCACGGCGTGAGCCCTCCACAGCCCTGACTCAGATCTGATGTGAGTGCAGACAGTCCTGGGGCTTTTCCAGCATCTGATGCACTGGGGTTTGCATCAGAATTTGTACAAAGATTTTAGATAGGGTGTAGCATGCTGTGGCCTTCGTGTGTTGGGGGTGCCTACCTGGCATGAGAGTGAGTGGGGAGAGCCAGAAGAGATACCTGAGATCTGATCCTCTTCCTTTAATTGAAGATTTAGATTTTGGTTAAAAAAGACAATGGCATGATACTGCTTCTGGTGGCTCATTACTGCCTCAGTCTCCCTTGCTTCCCTTTCTTGTCACATGCAGGCTCTTTTGTTCCAAGATTACAATCTTCTCCCTCCTTCTCCTCAGTAGCTCAATAAATGGGAAATTATTATGGCCCTTTACCTCTCTTTCTTTCTAAAAAGAGAATAAATGTGCTTAATCAGGTCTTACAGCGGCTCCCTTCTCTTGAAGGGGAGCCCAGTGTTGCGAGAGGAAGGGCAGCTGGGTGCAGTGGAAGTCACTGTGTTGTGAGGCGATTCCAGCTGCAGATTAAAGCCTCTGGCAGGCATTGGTGCTTCCCTCAGTGTGGGCAGGAGCACGGATGCTGAGCTCAAAGGTTCTCCATGGGCTGGCAGTGCTGTCCTGCAGGTGCTATCCAGAGCAGAATAAATCCTGCAGCTGTTCTGCAAAGCCATAGGCTTCCTCCAGGCTGCCCTGAGTCAGGGATCGCTGTGACTCTTGCTTCTTTGCACATCCCTCTTCTGCCTGGGAGGATTTCTGTTGCCTTGCTTTTCCTGAGGACTCGGAGTTAAGGGGAGCTGGCAATTCATCTGCAGATAGAAATCCTGTTTAATAGAAACACTGGCAAGGAGTAAAGCTCTTAAATTGCTTCTGGCCTGTGTGTAAATTGCTCACAGCTTTCAGAGCGGAGCGACGAATTGAATGTGTTCATCCAGGGCGAGGGCTGAGGGCTTTGTAGGAAGGCATGGCACTGTGCTGGCTGCTGTTTTTGGGGACCACCGCTGTGCCCTGGAGGTCTTTGGGAACATGGAGATGTGGCACTGAGGGATGTGGTGGGGTGGGTTGGGGTCAGACTTGGTGATCTTAGAGCTCTTTTCTAGTCTTAATGATTGTATGATTTTATAATGGAGCCCAGAACCAGCCAGCTTCCTTCTGGCTGGAAAGAGCAAAGAAAGGCATGAGGGAAGGCTAAGAGTTCAGCAAAGAGAGCACTTCCCAGTTTGAGTCCTTTTCTATCCTGCCCAAGTGCGAGCTATTCCAGGAAGGAGTTTCTTGCTTGCTCCCTGGGGGCTGCGTCTGCTTTTGCAATCTGGATGTTCTGTACCACTTCATTAACAACAGCCAGAAACAATAGAGGGCTGAGATTTCCCTTGGAGATCCTTGCCTGACCCCAGGGTCGTTCAGCCTTTCCCTTTCCTGCTCTGCTGAATGGGGCTCCGGTCACAGACAGCTCTGTGGGATCAGTCTGTGCTGACGTCCACGTCTGCAGGCGCAAGTTTGTGAGCTTCCTATGTGTGTACAGTGCATGCTTTGTGAGAAATGCAGCTATGAATACCTGGGGGAAAATCTATTGTCTGTTTTAATGAGAAGACATAAAGTCTCCTGTGTTTTCATCTAGTAGCTTGAGCTGTTCCTGAGCATGAGAACCAGGTTCTCTAATTAATTAACACACTGTGAAGCCCCTGGCATCACTATGCTGGTGTCCCTGGAGCCACACAGAGCCCCTCAGAGCCCCACAGGGCCCTGTGACTGTTGTTTCAACTCCTCCTGCTCCAGTTCCTCTGTTAAATGAACCATGAGGTGCTCCATGAGCAGCTGCTCTTTTAACAGTTATGATGAATCTGCGTGATCCAAAAGGACTCGTGTGTTATTGTCAAGGGTGCAGGGTTGGGAGAGCCCCAGCTCTGTTGCTGAGACCCTTTGGTGATCCTCTGCACCCACATCTGGGCCTGATAACCCCACAGCTGGGCCTGGTGACCCAATTGCAGGAGCACTGCTGACCACTTCTCTCCCCTTCTCGCAGGTGCTGGACATGGACACAGAGGATGACCCCTTGTTGCAGGACGCCTGGCTGGATGAGGAGGACGAAGAGGTTGCCTTCAGCTCAAGGAAGAGGCGGGAGGGTGCTCTGTTGTGTGGCAAAAGCTCCTGCAGGGTCAGGCCTCTGCGTGTCACGCTGCCAGTCAGTGGCTTCTGGAATATCGTAGGCTGGATATTTACCAACCCATACTGTGCTGGCTTCATCCTTTTCCTGGGCTGTGCCATCCCTGCTGTGCTCGCTGTTGTCATGTTCCTCCACTACCCAGCGCTGGACATTGATATCTCCTACAACGCCTTTGAGATCCGTAACCACGAGTCCTCGCAGCGCTTCGACGCGCTCGCCTTGGCCCTCAAGTCCCAGTTTGGGTCGTGGGGGAGGAACCGCCGTGACCTGGCTGACTTCACCTCCGAAACCCTGCAGAGGCTCATCTTTGAGCAGCTCCAACAGCTGCACCTCAACGCTTCCCACCTGCAGGTCAGCACGCGGGCCAAGCGCAGCGCCCCGCAGGGCAGGACTCGCTCCCTTGAGCCCCGTGCCCACCCACACCCAGGCAACGAGACGTCCCGTGTCACGAGGGGAGCCCCACGCTGGGACTACTCCAACACTTACATCAGTGCCAACACGCAGGCGCACGCGCATTGGCGCATTGAGCTCATCTTTCTGGCCCGGGGGGACTCTGAGAACAACATCTTCACCACGGAGCGTCTGGTTACCATCCATGAGGTTGAACGGAAGATCATGGATCACCCTCGCTTCCGGGAGTTCTGCTGGAAGCCCCACGAGGTCCTGAAGGACCTGCCCTTGGGCTCCTACTCCTACTGTTCCCCTCCCAGCTCCCTCATGACTTACTTCTTTCCCACGGAGAGAGGAGGGAAGATTTACTACGATGGTATGGGACAAGACCTTGCTGATATCCAAGGTGAGCTGAGTGCTGTGGGCCAGGGCTGGTGAGGTCAGGGCATGCGTAGAGTCATGAAATCGTAAAGGTTGAAAAAGACCACTAAGATCATCCAGTACAACCATCAGCCCATCCACACCATGCCCACTAAACCGTGTCACACAGACCCCAGTAGGCGAGCAACAAGGCCAAGTGAAGGGGAATCATACATTGTACAGTTGCCTTCCAGTCCTTCTCTCACGTGAAAAATTGGAAGAATATCAGGCCTTGGACAGACAATAGGGATGAGCTTCCCTGCACTGCAGAACAGAAGAAAGGTCTGTGGGCTGCTTTGCAGCATGAAAGGCAGCTTGTGAGTCACCAGCTGTCTGTAAGGAGAAGAGGAGGAAGGCCCTACCTCCTCCTCCCAGCTCCGTACCTGCAGGATGCCCCTCCAGCAGAGCAGAGGTGGTGAGGAGGTGAATCATAAGAAGGCCGTGGGTGTGATGCGGCTGTGGGATGGAGCATCCATCTGTCTCCCCAGCACAGGATGTAGCTGGTAACTGTCCAGGAGCCATGCTGGGAGCAGGGAAAGGCTGAGCTCCATCTGCTCCAGCGTGAGTAATAGTTCTGTTACCAGAACAGGAAAGAGCCTGGTTCTGAGTTTTTCTGGCATGAACTCAAGGGACCTTGGGTTCTGGAGGCAGAACTGGCTTGCTCTGGTTTTCATGATGTTCTCAAAGAAATGGAGTCTGTTCCTTATGTCTTAACTCCCTGATCTTTTCTTTCATGCGCAGTTAATCGTATTACGATAGTCAGTGACTACAGTCCCACTTCTCCTTTGTTAGCACTGTGCCTTGCAAAGCTCAGCAGGACCTAACATGAGTGGTGCTTTTCTCCTGCAGGGTCCTTGGAGCTGGCCATGACCCACCCCGAGTTCTACTGGTATGTAGATGAGGGTTTGTCTGCTGAGAACAAGAAGAGCTCCCTGCTGCGGAGCGAGATCCTCTTTGGGGCACCACTGCCCAACTACTACTCAGTGGAGGATCGCTGGGAGGAGCAGCGCCACAAGTTCCAGAACTTTGTTGTCACCTACGTGGCCATGCTGGCCAAGCAGTCCACGAGGTGAGGGTGCGTGCAGGCAGGGAGGAGGCAGTGAAGGATAGAGGCTGAAGAAGAGAATGCTTGCTGTGGCACTAAAGGGGGGGTTGGAGGAAGGAGTAAAAACATCTTCAAAGTTGGGCTCTGGCACAGTGCTGTGAGTGGAAGTGAGGAGCAGAAAACCATTCACACGCTTTCCTTCAGTGCCACTTCCTACTGCAGCAGCATGTCAGGGACATCAGAGATGGTGACAGCAAGGCAAAGATTGAATCTAGTGCCTGCCTTTGTGCTCAGCGTCTGTCTGATGTGGGGTCTGTTTGCTCCCATCTCACAAATTCAATTCCACTGACTCCAGCAGAGCTTCTACTCTGTGTTCCTGCTCTAAATTTGGCCTCAGCTGGTGTGATGCAAGGAGTGAAACAGCCCTTAGTCAAGACATCAACCTGTGGGCAAAATCTGTTTCAGGAAATGCAGACATACTTCACCACCTGGTCTGCACGGATCATGTTGAAGAGAGCTTTGCTCTGTGCTTGTGGAAGAGAAAGAGTAAACCAGAGGTCAAAGAAAAAGGGTAGACCAGTATCCGGAGAGCTGAGGGAAGGCACTGCAGCTTTTCAGTCTCCAGCTCTCTACTGCTCTGAATCTCAATGGTTCCCAGAGTGAAGGGACACTGATCTTCAAAAGCAGAGTGAAATGCTGCCAGCTCTTGTTAGCCCTGAAAGCATCTGCAGTGTTCTCAGCAATGGGCTGGCACTGAGGCTGCAGCCAGTAGAAGCCAAAATGGAATTGGGGCTGAGGCTCAGATTCCCAGTTGTCTCCTATGATGCAGTGCTGTGGTACTCCTGCTTAAATTGTCGTGGATTACTTCCGCTCAGAGTCTGCTTCCAGAAGCAGAGGCTGCTAAATCATATGGTTCCTGATGAGCTCTAACTCTGCCTGCATCCGCTGGTTATTACCTTTGTGCTTAACATAAAAAGCAATGATTAGGATTCTAGATGGAATCAGCTTTGGAAGCTTCAGAAGCTGTTTGCTGACAGCAGGAAGTCTGTTAGTGCCACAGACCCACCATACTCCGGAAGAATTCTAAAAATATTGGACCTGCTTTTATTTTTCTCCCTTCTTGTGTGTGAATTTCATCTCCAGCAGCAAGCTAGTCCAACCTGCTCTCACTGCTCCCAGCAGTTTATAGAGTTCGTGGGAGCAGTGACGTCATTTGGCCCCGGGGGAGATGATGTGCTTTGTTAAATCCGTCACTCTGCTCCCTTTGCACTCAACTCTGCCTAATCTTCGTCCTTTCCACCTTCCCACCCTAGCAAAGTCCAGGTGCTGTATGGAGGGACGGATTTGTTTGACTATGAAGTGAGGAGGACATTCAACAATGACATGTTGCTGGCCTTCATCAGCAGTAGCTGCATAGCTGTCCTGGTTTACATCCTTACCTCCTGCTCAGGTAGGCTCAGAGCCCAGTGTGCCCCATCAGTGCCCCAGCAGGACAGGTGGGAGGTGACTGTTCTCCCTGGGAGTGGCCATCACTGGTGTTTTTTCCATCTTGCTTTCCTCCTGCAGTGTTCCTGTCATTCTTTGGCATCGCCAGTATTGGACTGAGCTGTCTGGTGGCTCTGTTCCTGTACCACGTCGTTTTTGGGATCCAGTACTTGGGCATACTCAATGGTGTGGCTGCCTTTGTCATTGTGGGGATTGGTAAGCATGTTCTTGTTCAGATCTACCTGCGCTGCCTTGCCATAACTTCTGCATGCAGAAGAGAGGAAGGTATTGGAGACAAATGTAGATCAAATTTTCAAGCCTGTTGCCTCCATTATCTGTAAGTGGGGGATCTTCAGATCAGAAGCTCAGGGGAAATGAGGATCTCAGCACGTGTCCCTGTAGCATGAGCAAAGTACCAAACTCTCCCTCCTTTCATTGCCTAGGGGTTGATGATGTCTTTGTGTTCATCAACACCTACCGCCAAGCCACCCACCTCAAAGACCTGCGGCTGCGCATGATCCACACAATCCAGACAGCAGGGAAGGCCACCTTCTTCACTTCCCTGACCACAGCTGCAGCTTATGCTGCCAACATCTTCTCTCAGGTATGCTGCAGTTGTGGGACTGGGGGCTTTCTATTCCTGTCACAGGCCCTAAGAGAGAAGGAAGCTGCCAGGCTCTGACTCAGCTTCGTACCAAGTTTGCTGACTATGACTAAGATCAGCATGAGCTATTTTCAGGTTCCTCCAGATATCTTTTTGTCTCTCTGCATCTCCCTCCCTGATCCCAATTCTCTGTTCTCTTCATGTAGATCCCAGCTGTGCATGACTTTGGACTCTTCATGTCGCTGATTGTGTCCTGCTGCTGGGTGGCTGTGCTCTTTACCATGCCAGCTGCTCTTGGAATATGGACTCTTTATGTGTCCCCACTAGAGAGCTCCTGCCAAACCAGGTGAGCCCTGAGTTTTGTGAGTGGGAAGTTGTTGGGGAGCACATGATCAAGACAGCATGCAAATCCTTACCCAGTCCTGTCATTCTCATTCTCCTTGACTTCCCCATTCGCTGATAGTCTCTAACATAAAAGAAATTCAACCCTTAAAGATGAGAGCAAAAATTAAAGGATCAGGTCCCACTTTCATTTCCCTTGGGGTAAGCACACATGCCACTTCAGGGGCAGACTCAGCAACATCAGTCATTTCTCTTTCTTGAATCTCATGGAGGATGGGAGCCATCTGTGTCCTCAGAGCAGAGCCTCATCCCTGAGCTGTGGACGCACAAGCCCAGCACAGCAGGCAGACCAGAGTTGCTCTTGCCTGCGAGCACAAGCAGTGCATGCAGATTCCTGTTTGGAAGTCAGCACATTTCCCTTCCCTTGCTCTTTAGCAGTGCAGATGACCTGGCCTGATTTAATTCATTAGCAGGGAGATGAACTGCTGAAATTTCCGTCACTCAGCACCCAATGTGTGTGGCTCAGCTCTGTTTATTCAGCCCTGACTGCTGCTGCTTTGCCATAGCAGCTCAGCCCCTGACCTCTCAGCACTTAGCAATGGAAATAGAACACAGCATTGCCTCTTGTTGCCTTTCCAAGTAATTGGAGCAGGCTGCTGCTGTTTTCCTTCTTGCTGAAGGAGACCAGTGGTAACTGTTTGCAGGGTACCTGACTCAAAGCTCACGCCTTTGCGTCCTTCCCTTTCCCGACCCAGCTGCAGTCAGAAGTGCACCAAGAAGAGGGCTTTGCACCTGGCTGAGGATCTCTTCGTTGCCTCAGAGGGCGCCTCCAGAGCAGGCCGAGAGACGCTGCCCTACCTCGATGATGACATCCCACTGCTCAGCGTGGAGGAGGAGCCTGGTACGTGCCTGTTGCGTAGTGCCATCAGGGTGACCACGCTGACCTTTTTGTCCTGGAGCTTTTCTGGATTGTTCCTCAGTTTCCTTACTTTTCAGCAGGAGGTGGTGCTGTCACAGAAGGTTGTAGGGTCTGCATTCTCTTGTGGCTGCAAGCTGCCTTGAGATCTGCAGCAGCTGTGGATGCATGGCTTGCTCACTGCTTTGCTAAACCTCTTGGGTCTAACACGAATTGTATTTTCTGTCTGGAATTACTAATTGCCAAATGGATGTAGCCATGAAACATCTAATCCCGAGCACCAGGACAGCTCACCTTCAAGTAAAGGATATTTTCCTTTCTTCCCTACTGCCCAGAGCATTGCATTTGAGAAGCAGGCAAAGAATGCTATTCTCAGGCATCACCTCCTCAGAGCACCTTCTCCCTATGGCAAGGAAAGGGCAATGACTTGCCTGGACAACACAGGCAATCTGAAAAAAAAAGGCCTAGAAATGCCATATCACTTGTTAGCAGGAGATGTTCCTTCTAGCTCTGATTGAAGATAAAGGTGCTTACAGGATCACGCTCTCTTAAAACTCGTTAGGATCTCTTCCTTTTAAAACCCGTGATGGAAGTGGTGCGGGCAGTGAGCAGCTTTCACACCTAGCAGCAAGCTGGAACTGGAGCCCATCAGTCCCATGGCAGTGCACAGACCCTCTCCCTGTAGATCTGAACTGTGCTTTGGCTCTGCATGGCAAGAGCTGTCTCCTTAGTATGCCAGGGACACGTGCAATGGTAATGTATGGAAATCACTCCTTCCCTTCTGAGCAAACAGCTGAATGCTTCCCTCCAGGGCCCCTGGGCATCAGGTTACTCATGAAGTAACAGAGCAGCTTGCTGGTGACCAGGCATGGTTTGTGTGTCAGCTGTGCAGCACAGCAGGCAGTGCTTGACCCCCTTACAGCAAATGAGTGTTTGTCACCTGCAGGGAAGGGGCAGTTCCTCAGGCATCCCTGAGCTGGAGTGGAGGGATTGTGCAGGAGCCTGGCTCTGCAGTCAGGCAGAGGTGAGCTGTGTGTAATCAGCTCCAAGATATAGTCAGTAGAACAGGGGGACAAACTCTGCTTGAGCTCACAGAGAGAAGCTCACAGTGTCCCTGTAGCCACATGCACAGTGTTAGTGGGATCTGGCAGAGGAAGAGCAGCCTGAAGCATGGCTTTGGAATGAGCTGTGCATTAGTAGTGTAGCTGTCACATGGCAGTGACTTGCCAGAGATGTTTCCAATGACATCCTGGGCGAGTCTCTGCCTGTGTCTCATCCCATCCCCTTAGCACTGGGTCATACAGCTCATCACAGAAGGAGATGTTGTGAAAGTGAGCAAGAAGCAATGAGAAACATTCATGACACTGACACGTGCCTTTAATTTCTCTCTCTTTCTAGTCTCCCTGGAAATGGGGGATGTTCCCTTGGTATCTGTGATGCCAGAAAATCTGCAGCTGCCTGTGGAGAAGAGCAACCGAGGTCATCTGATAGCTCATCTCCAGGAGCTTCTGGAGCACTGGGTGCTGTGGTCTGCAGTGAAGAGCAGATGGGTGATTGTGGGTAAGGAGGAAAGGAAATTATTCCATCCTCCTGGGTTTTAGAGGGTTTGACAGCATCACAGGCAGTATCTAAGTTGTGATTATTAGTGACAAGAGATTGAGAAAGAAGGCATAATGGATAGTTTCTAACACAGTTGATGAGTGTCACCAGAACAGATAGTCCCTAAGGGAACTGCATGAGGAACTTGGAGACTTCTCCATCCCTTTCCTTTCACTCAGATCTGAAATGGCAGGTCCCCATGGGGTTATCCAAGCACAGGGCTCAATACAAGAAATCTCAGCTGCTGATGTCAGCAGTGCTGTTCCCTTCTCCTCCTTCCTCCATGTCCCTGCTAACGATATCATAAGAGGAAGATTTATGCAGGGTCTCCTGTGCACTCATCTGGGCTTTTCTTTGCAGGGCTCTTTCTCCTCGTTTTGCTCCTGTCCATATTCTTTGCCAGTCGCCTCCGCCCAGCTAGCCGTGCTCCAGTCCTGTTCCGGCCAGACACCAACATCCAGGTGCTGCTAGACCTGAAATACAACCTGAGTGCTGAAGGCATCTCCTGCATTACCTGCTCAGGTGAGAGTGCTGATCTCCAGGCTGCAGACCCTAGGCTGGGGGAGCTGGAACATGAAAGAGAGAGCTGTGTTTTTCATGGCTCATTGGATACTGAATGGATCCTGTTGAAGGGAGGTGCATACTCTGAGTAGGATGGTGGTGTTGCCTGTAGGAGTTGAGCATATTGAAAAGCTGCTTAAGCAGTTTTTCTGCTAGAGCAAATAGCATTCAAGTTGAGCAAAACCAACTACTTTTACTCATAAGGGTCTCTGCCAGTGACCAGTCTGAGGTCAGTGGCTCTGTGTTCCCTGGTTTGGATTTGATGTTCAATAGCAAAGTATCTGATGTGTTACCTATTCAGCTGAGTAGCATGCACAGTGATCATAGAATCATTAAGGTCGGAAAAGACTACCAAGATAATCTAGTCCAGCCATCAATCTATGGCCACCATGCCTACCATGGTAGGTATCTTGCTGTGTCATTCACTGTTTCCTCCCTGAGTAACCTTGTGGGACAGGTTTGTTTCAGGAAAAGCCCCACAGTTTGCAGAACAACTTCCGAACATCCTTGGAGAAAAAGAAGAGAGGCTCTGGCTCACCCTGGGGAAGTAAAGGGAGCATAACTGATACAGGGCAGCAAGGTAAGCAGGGCATGGGGACAGATTTTTTGGCCACATTTGTTTTAAAAAAAGAAGAAAAAAATGATACAACTCTGAATAACTGATATGGAATAATTTTCTTCTGACACATCCCTGCTGAGCCCTGGCTTGGTGCTGGATGTATAGGGCATCATTACCATGCCCCTTCCCCTCAATACCTACTGTTCTTCAGTACAAGATCTTACAATCCAGGTGGCAGAACAGTCTACTGACAAATCCCAGTGGTCTGCCTAGTATGAGCACAGGGCTGGGAGCTCAGACCTTTTGTGTCCCTGTCCTGTGTCACAGCCTTGTTGGCAGGCCACGAAGGGAGTAAATTCAGTTTGCTTTGCAGGGGACTTTGAGCATAAAAGAGTTATTGGGCCAGGTCCTGAGCTGACATGAATCAATAAGCCATCAGGAATTACTGCAGCTCAGGATATGTTTGTGAAAGCCTTTGAAAGATGTGCTGTGCTGCTAGAAGGCAGAGGCTGTGCCTGCTGCCCCAGAGGAGAAAACAGACCAGAAGAAAACCTCTTCCACTGCTGCCCATGTCTGTAAGATTTGCTGAATGAGCAGTACCACAAGCCCTCATGCCCTCTCTCTGTTTTCTGCAGATCTGCAGGGGACTGTGTATATCTCCAAGTCCAGAAGCAAAGGAAGGCCAGCCATCTACAGATTCTCTCTCAATGCCAGCATCCCTGCCCCCTGGCAGATGGTGTCACCGGGAGATGGAGAGGTGCCTTCATTCCAGGTGAGTCAGTCCAGGGATGGTGGACCCCTCTATCAAGAGTGCAGCACTCAGGTGAGCACAAGAGCCTCCTGTCACTCCACAGGGCCCTGGGTAGCTCAGGGTGAAGGGGGTTGCAGTAAGGGAGCTAGCACAGAGGGCCTTGCTAGAGGGCCTTGCACTGCCCCAGTATTGGTCTGTTGCAGTTGCAGTGTGATTGTCAGCAATGAGAGCAGGAGTGTGGGTGTCTGTGGGGATCAGATGAGTTCTGGCATCATCAGCTGAGCTCAATTTATAGAAACTGTAATGAGACAGCTGCATTCCCACTGCCTCCTTCTGTCCATGCACAGACAGCTGGTGAGCAGGCAACACTGCTTGTGCACGTGTTGGGCATGGACACCCCCAGCAGAATTCTCTTGCATTTCTCCCTCATCCTGAACAGAGCAGCCGCCATCCAGCTCAGGCACAAAGAATGGGGGTGGCAAGGGGTTCCATCACACACACGATGGGAAGGAGGCAGGCTGGAGACTGGCTGGGTTTGTTCCTACAGTGCTCATTCTGTATGGTTGTGCCAGTGCCCTGGGAGGAGGGGAGTGTGTGATGCTAACATATGACAGGCTGCAACCTTGTGGAGTTAAGTGTCTGTTTTCATTAATCCATTGCTTAGGTGTATAGAGTGCCTTTCGGTAACTTCACCAGGAAGCTGACAGCTTGTGTGTCCACAGTAGGGCTGCTTAAGCAGACGAGCCCCAGGAAGTGGATGATGACTACCTTGTCCTGTGATAGCAAGAGAGGCTGGAAGTTCGACTTCAGTTTCTACGTGGCCGCCAAGGAGCAGCAGCGAACACGGTAACCCTCCAAAGCCCACATGGCCAGGCAGCAAACAGTGCACCTGAGTGGTTGAAACACAATGCCTCGTGTCCAGTGCCAGTCCTGCTCTCAGCTGAACGTCCCTGGCCTTAGGCCTCTTTGCTGCACATATGCCTCACTTTGTCAAGTTATTTTGCAGCCTCGCAACACCACTAACACTTGTCACAGGCTTGCCAGATGCAGGATTGTCACTGTGGGCCTCATTGTGTGTCAAAAAGAAGTTGCTGATTTTTGTGTTGTCCTTACCCAGCTGAAGCCTTGGGCTGAGCAGGCAGCACACAGAGCACAATGGCTAGGGATCCAAGTCTCGAGCCGTGCAGTTTTTCCCTTCCCTCTGTCCTTGAGAACGTCTGTTTCCATGTAGTGCTGTGGAGATCATCCATACTACCTGTGCCCTACCATAACAAACTCTTTTTCCTGCACAGGAAGCTGTATTTTGCCCAATCACACAAGCCTCCTTACCATGGCCGAGTGTGTGTGGCACCTCCTGGTTGTCTCCTCAGCTCCAGCCCAGATGGACCCACCAAAGGCATCCTTTATGTTCCCAGTGACAAAGGTGAGCTAGTGAGGACCCGTTCAGCCATGCCTTGTTGCTGCGATGCTTGAGAGTCAGCTGGGTCTTTGCCTTCAGGTGTAACCTTCCTTTCTTCCACATTTGATAGCAGCACCCAAAGCAAGGCTCTCGGCGACTTCTGGGTTTAATCCTTGCATGAACACGGGCTGCGGGAAGCCAGCAGTGCGACCACTGGTGGACACGGGCGCCATGGTGTTCGTCGTCTTTGGCATCCGAGGGGTGAATCGTACCAAGCACTCGGACAACCACGTCATCGCAGACATGGTACACGAATGCTGAACGGCCAGCTGGGACTGATGAGTGAAGGAAGGGTCTCCCTGGATGGTATTTAGTTGTTCCCTGCAGCAGTCAGGACAGATGGAGGTGGCTGGCTGTGATGAGCCAGAAGCACGCTCTGTATAGAACATTCCCAAACAATGGGGATGAAGAAGCCCTTTCCTAAAACTGCTTCAGACTTTTCAGAAAATCCCTTTCGGAGTGCAGTACCTAACCTTCTAATTTTAAGTCTAAATCTGGCTTGCCTGAGAATTTTAGAAGCAAACCCATCTTGAGCTCGGTGTGGAAATGTCACTATAAACTCAAGATCCAGGCAACTGATATTTTTCTATAATTGTTTATTTTGTTATGAAATCGTAACGTGGAAAAAATACAAAGCACTGTAGAGAAAGTTTCCTAAAAGTGATGTTTTCAGAAGCAGTTTATCCCCCACGTCAGGTACTTTGAAATATTCACAGCCTTTCACTAGCAGAATTATGCTTAGCTGTGGCAGTTGCGGATGCATTTCAGCCTTTTGGCCTTTTGATCTGGGTTCTGTCCTTGTTTCCTCTGGAGGGAACAGCACCACACACAAGCAATAGAGTGGACAGAAAGCTGGAATTGTGCACTCTCCTTACTCAGACCACAGTGGTTTGGGGCACGGCCTGGTAGCCGTGTATTCATCAGTTCTTCTGTCACACTGTCTGATATACGTATCTATAATTTTTTAATGTAGTTTCTGGGTTGTCTGGTGAGGCAAAGATGTGAGGTTTGTTTGCTGTAGAAGCTATGGTCTGAATAAGCAGATTGCAAGCTCTGTGCCCAAGTTCTGCCTTGTGCCAGTTGCAGTGTGCATGTCTCACGTGTGGTGCTTCTGTTGTTGTGTCTCCTTGTGAAAGGGCAGCGTTATCTACGATGACAGCTTCGACCTCTTCAAAGAGATTGGCAACCTGTGTCGCCTCTGCAAAGCCATCGCCAGCAACACCGAGCTTGTGAAGCCAGGAGGGGCTCAGTGCCTGCCCTCGGGTACGTGGGGTCCTCAGGAAGACCCTGGGTCCCTGGGTGGACACTGCTTCTCACCTTTCAGTCTGAGGATCATAGCTCCTGAGGGCTTCTAAACCTTCAGGTCCCAGCTTGATGAAGCGAGGCAAGGAAGCAAACATACCAGTCGGTGATAAATGCAGGCAGTGCAGAGAGCAGAGGTGTTTCTCAGCAGGCAGCTCTTTGAGCTGGCTGCAGCACAGCTTTGGCCCAGGTCACAGCTCCCACCTCCACGAGTCACTCACCCTATGCTTCCATTTGTTGTGCCAGTTTCTTCAGGGATGAGAAATACCCAGCAAGTAGGACAGCAGCGGCAGATGCCTGTTCTGCATCTCTGTTAGCAACAGTGCTGCTTGAGTTGTGATCATGTCCTGTTCAGTGCTGACAGCACTGACTGCCCTCTCAAGCTGAGAATTCTGATCCTGAGATCTCTAGTGCTTTTACAAGTCAGAGTTGCAAGGGGAAGCAGCTGCTGACAAATGCAGCCTGCAGCTTCCTTGTTTTCTTCCCCTTTGTTCCCATGTGCTCCCTTTCCCTGTCCTGTCCTCCACTCCTTGCTCTTTCTTTCTCTCCAGGTTATAGCATCTCCTCCTTTCTGCAGATGTTGCACCCTGAGTGCAAGAACATCCCTGAGCCGAACCTGCTGCCTGGACAGCTCTCTCACGGGGCAGTGGGAGTGAAGGATGGGAAGGTGCAGTGGATCTCCATGGCATTTGAATCAGTGAGCATCACCATCTATCCTTGGGACACCTTCTTCTTGTGACTTCTAGGGGCTTAGCTCTGTTCTTCTTGCACTAGCCACTTTCATTTGCAGCCATAAATTAGTGCTTGCTGGTGTTTGTGCCTGGTTGCAGACAGATGCCTGCACTCACATGTTGCTAAGAAGTAGCTGCTTATGCCACCCTTTGCTCTTACCATGAGTTCAAGCAAAGAGCTGGTGCCTTTTTGCCCCTTTAAGTTCTGCCTGCTACTCCAGCTGTTTGTTCTACCTTTACCCTTGCATACACTGCATCAGGGAGCAGGACACAAGTGTAACCTGTTCATCTTCTTACAGACAACCTACAAAGGGAAATCTTCCTTCCAGACGTATGCTGATTATCTGAAATGGGAGACATTCCTGCAGCAGCAACTCCAGCTCTTCCCAGAGGGTTCTGCTCTCCGTCATGGTTTCCAGACCTGTGAGCACTGGAAGCAGATCTTCATGGAGATAATAGGCAAGTGACTGTCCTGTTTCTCTCCCTGAGGAAGCCAAGCGCTCTGATGTACCTTCACAAAACCCTTCACTCCATTTTATGCCGTGTTGTATCTTCAGTCCCTTAGGACTGTGCACAGTCCTAAGATCTTCTTCCACTCCAAGCAGCACATACTGTCGAAATCCCTAGATAGAATTCAGGGAAGTAGAGAAAGTGGGGAAATTTGCTTTGCTGCTGGGGAGTCCAGGGATGCAGTTCCCCCTCACCCCAGCTGTCACCATCCCAGGCTCCAGTTAACTGGCTGTTTCTCTTCCAGGAGTGCAGAGTGCCCTGTATGGTCTCATCCTTTCGCTGGTTATTTGTGTGGCTGCAGTGGCAGTGTTCACCACTCACATCCTCCTCCTGCTGCCAGTGCTGCTCAGCATTTTAGGTAAAATTGCTGACCTTGGTGTGCCAGGCCTTCCCTTTCTCTGAGATTGGTGGGTTGTGCCACTGCTGAGTGATGATTCGAACTGAGTTGTTATTACTCTCTGTAAATCCTTTTGGTTTCCTGGACTCAGTCCTGCTATGCTCAGGTGAACGGGAGAAACTCTCAACAACTGCATAGGAACCTCATTGGGAAAACAGATTTGTGTATCTAATTCCCCGTGTGCTTTATCTACACAATCCCTTCTATTTGTTTAAATAAGGGGTTTAGCTACACAAATGCCATCCCTGCCTATTATGTATAATAATGTGATTAAGTCCCACATGCCCTGAATAGCAATTGCACTGCTTCCCAAGGATCAGCACCATGGCTGCTGTTTCCAAGCAGTGGGAGATTTTAAAAGCTGAATATTTGAGTGTTTTTGTTAGTATTTGAAGCAAATTTCTAAATAGCTCCCTCTCCTTGGCTGGTGATTTGACGATATTATGGACTAAGTGTGTTGCTTAACTTCCCGGTTTCAAAATCAAATCTATCATTTTAAAACCACTTACTCTCCCACACATGACTCACAAACAAACAGCATTCGTGCCTTTAAGAAAACCTTGTGCATGTGCTCAGGCTGTGAATAAACTCCAGCAAGCAAAACATAGGGCCCTCTTCCATCTAGTGCACATATGCACGCTTGCTTGTGTTGAATTCATTAGTCTGGTTGGTATCAGTCTGTCATTTTGCCTGATGTTTCAGTGAGGTGCTTCGCTATCCCCAGCAGGTCTGAGTGCGTTATTGGATGGCGGGAAGGTGAGGGAAGCATTCACCTTTGTGGGAGGACGTAAAGCATTCAGCCTGGCTGGCGTACAGAGCTCAGAGGCATGATCTCAAGATCCCCTGAGACTGAGCTGTAACAGGAAGGCTGAGCAGCACTCCCTGAGTCCCCTAAACTTGCCTAACATGAGCTTCTTCATGCAGGTGTGGTCTGCCTGGTGGTGACCATCATGTACTGGTCTGGCTGGGAAATGGGGGCTGTGGAAGCCATTTCTCTGTCCATCCTCGTTGGCTCTTCTGTCGATTACTGCGTGCATTTGGTGGAGGGCTACCTGCTGGCAGGGGAAAACCTGCCACTGCACCACGCAGAGGTGAGCTCTTTTCCTCCTAAAGCTTTTTTTAGTGCCTTTTGTATCACCCAGCTGTGATGCAGGATGTAAGATGTGCTGGGCAAAATGGAATGCCTCCTGCCATCCTCACAATGTGCTTGGGTAACTTTTCCAGCTGATGTGAGCTGATGTACCTGGAGTCAGTAAAACCCAGCTGAGCATCCAACCTGCATTCTTGTCCCTCTCTCAACGGCCACTGGACACACCTGTGTCCAAAGCAATGCTCTTTCATGCCCCACTAAGGACAGCGAGAGCCTTAGAGTAGCCCTAAACTCATCCTGTAACTTCTGAAAATCAGACTGGCTTGTGACTTGCCCCATCTCGCCCTGCTAACGTCTTTCCCTCTTTGGGAAGATGGGCATCACAAAAGCTTGGGGATCTCTGTTCCCTGGTACAGCATCTGTTTGCCCCGCCTGATGTGGCTGAAAGAAGGCACGGTGGAGGCACAAAATCCAGCACTTAGTCTCTGCTGGATTAAAATCCTCATGGCTGTTTGCCTGGTGTGTTCAGAGACTGCAGAAACAGTGAGAAGTGCACTCACACAGCGTCTGTGTCCCAGACCAGGACTCCGTGAGCTAAGCCACCCTCTCAGAGCATAAAGCATTTCTGCAGCCCTGTGTGCTTTGTCTCTGCTCCCTGTGACACTGCTGTCCCTTCCGCCAGGACCCCACAGCCTGCCGCCAGTGGAGGACGATTGAAGCTATCCGTCACGTGGGCGTAGCAATCGTCTCGAGTGCTGTCACCACCGTGATTGCCACCGTCCCGCTCTTCTTCTGCATCATTGCCCCTTTCGCCAAGTTTGGGAAGATCGTGGCCCTCAACACGGCAGTCTCCATCCTGTACACGCTGACTGTGAGCACAGCCCTGCTGAGCATCATGGGGCCCGGCACCTTCACCCGGAGCAGGACTTCCTGCCTCAAGGCTGTGGCAGGGGTGCTTCTCGCTGGCCTGCTGGGTCTATGCATCTGCCTTGCCCTGCTAAAGGGTGGATTTAAGATCCCTCTCCCTAATGGGACAGCCCTGTAGACCTCACACCGAGAGCCACACGATCTGTCCTCTTGCTCCCTTTTCTTTTTTTCTTTCTTTTTTTTTTTAAAGGATATTTTTTGTAAGAAAAAAAAAGAGGAAAAAAAATCCTGTTTTTTCCAGAAGTTTTTCAACTCCAGATGCACTTTATTTTCTAATGGGTTTTGCTCTAAACTTGTATTTATTTCAGAAGTGATGGATGGATGACGGACAGTGAGGGCTGCCCAGGGAATTCCTCAGCCCATGAGTAGGAGGGGAGAAGGTGCTCTTCTCTCAATTTTATTTCTGCTTTTCTTTTTTTAAATGAACAGAGCTTTCTGGAACCACAAAGGTAAAGAAGTCAGGTAGACCCCTTTCAAACTGCTTCCTTTCTGTCCTTGCCATGGCCAGGGTCAGCATTGTGACGATGGCTTTAGAGGTGATGTCCTGTCCCATAACAGGGCTGTGCATCAACACCTGAGCCTTGCAAATGGCAGCGAGGCCTGGGGAATAGCATTGCTTTGCTATGCCCTGTGCTCAGCTGCAAACTCACTGCACAGGATGCATTTCCCAGCTAGCTCTTACTGGGATGGTTGTGAAATTAAAGTGAGAGATTTTGGGGCAGCACCACCTGCTGGGACCTGCTTTCATTGTTAGCGAGGAATGCCAGGACATGTGGCTCTTTCTTTCATAAAGGACGCCGGTCCTCTCACTGGGATCCCTTGTGTCTCTGAACAGTCATCAGAACACTGTTGGTGCCTACAGGGCCCTGTCCTCCTCTCCTTCTTGCCAAGGTAGCAGTGGTGTCCTGTCCCAGCTCCCGCTCTGTTTGTGACTTCACCAATCTACCTCTGCTCTTCATGGCAGAGAAAGAACTGAAGGCCTTCAGCTCTGTACAAAGATTTTTGCTCCAGGACCTGGCATCCAGCACTTAGCCTGAGGATAAACTAACCCCTGTAGCAAGGTAGAGCCCATAGCTGGCAGCATGCATGGATAAACAGTGGGGCATTCTCTGTGGCAGCTCAGAGACCCTGCTGTGCAGACATGAAGGCAGCAGAGCTTCAGCCTGAGGCTGCTGCCTGCTCAAAGCAGATGGTTTATATTAAAGTAAAATGAAATTGCAAACTGGTGCCATTAACAAGTACATTTTAAGCATCACTGATTCCATCATATTCTTAAAATTGAAATAACTAAGTGTGTGCATTGATATGCAGCACATCTGGTCCTTGGCAGAAGGGGAGGGGTCAGGCCCACTGGGAGATGCATTAAACATTATTTACAGGGATGCCAACAGAAAGAGGTGGCTGGAAAGCAGCCCAACTCCTCATTTGTTTGCAGATACCATGTCCCCGATGGCTTTGCATTCTCTGTCTGGATTGACCCCCTTTTTAAAATGGAAATGCCAGGAAGCTGGCCCCTGGTGCCAGCCACGTTCTGGGGACTGTGCTGCTGAGACAGACCAGCAGCTGCTGCTGCTTGGCTCACTATATCCCTGGTTTCATCCCTGCCAGTCTCTTACATCTTCACATCATGTTGTTCCTCTGAAACAGGATCAAACATTTGTTCATAAACTAGGTTCCTCAAGGCATCAGCTGGAGAGAAGGGATTGAGGACAGGAGTCTCCTTGGGCTTTGTTGATGCCAGGAGAAATCTAGAGCAATCCATGACGGTGGTGAAAGCATGAGCAAACAGGACCTGGTTTTCTTCCTCACCATCACCATGGCACAGCTGAGTTACCCTTTTCTGCAGGATTTACTGTTCCTTGACCCCTGTCTCTGCTCTGCCCAGCTCCTACAGGATGAACCCTGATGAATAAATGGTTCTGGGAAGGATTTTCAACCTTCCTAAACCCGTGGTTCTTTGAGAGCTGCTATGCAAGGCTCAGCCTCACTGATCTGCAAGCCCTGCTTTCCCTGATGTCTGATCTCCAGATTTAATTACTAGTGGTGCCCTGCGCACTTGTAAATGGCAGCAAGCACAGAGGGCAGCATGCTGATGACATACAGCGATCTACATGGCTGTTGTGGGACAGAGTGCAGGAGCCCTGGTGCTGCTGCCAAGGAAGCTCTGACTGGAAGGCTTGACCCATATTCACCTATTGCTTCAACCTTCTTGGAGTGATTAAAGCTGATGGTTATTTCCAGGTCACCAGACAAGAGAGGAAGGTGCTGAGTTAAGCCTTGCAGCATGTCCCTTCTGTGAGCACGGAGAAGCACTGAAAGATCTTTAAGGCGAGGCATAGATCTGCTTTAATCCTGCAAAACTTAACGCGCATTCATGCCCCCGGTATCCCACAGTTTTACTCACTATAAAGAGGCTAATATAAGCTCCTCACTTCCAGAGTGATGCTGGGCACACCATGCTGGGACCAGTCCCTCAGCTATTCTCAGAAAGCAAAGATTAGTTTCAAAGTAGTGGAAAAGCTTTTGTGCCTCTGGGTTCTGATTTAGCAGTGTCTGATCTCAGACAAAAATAACAGCATTCTTAGCACCCAACAGGTTCTGTCCCATTTTCTGGAGCAGGAAGGGGGAAGGACAGACTGCCAATCTTTCTCATCCTCTCTGGCTAGTCAGAGCAGTAGGGCAGGCTGATATGAGCAGGAACATCACCTTCTCCATGTTTGCCCAAGTGGCTCTGGGAACACGCTAGAAAAGCAATGGCTGGAGTGATTCAGGAAGGAAAAAAAAAGACTAAGGTAAGTATAGCAGATGATTTGCAAAGGCATACTGAGGAGATGGTGTCCCTCCAGCAGGAAGCTGAGGCAGAGTTAGGATTTGGAGCTCACTCCAAGTTATAGTAGAAGAGCCAAGAGATGATCCCAGATTATGCTTTCCAGTGCAGGTGCCCGCTGGACATTGATAAGCTGAAAATTTGATGGTCACAACACTTGGGTTTTAGATGTGGAATCACAGAATATCCTGCAGAGTGTTGCAGAGTGAAGGAGAAACAGAAGTGGAGCCCAGCCTTCCGCAGCATACTTGCAACACTGTCTTGGTGGAGACAGTAAATCAGTGGCAGATGCATACATCCATCTCCCTGGCATTAGAAAATATTCATAAAATTATAGGGGTAAGAAAATGGATGGGTTTATCTGAGCAAGCATGAAGGTGGGGCTGACAGCCCTGCTGGGAATCAGTGCTCTGAGGCAGATGCTTGTAGCAATAAAAAGCAAAGGCTCACCTGTCTAGCGCTGTTCAGGAGCAGATGCTTGCCCTAAATTAATTCCTCCCAAATCTCTACCCATCTTCTTTCTCTGATGCCCAGAGCATCTCTTGGGCCCTGTCACCTTGCTGTGCAAGGTTCCGCCTTCTCAGTGGTACCTCCTTTGCCTAAGATGCTCACAGATGCTGAACTAAGGCATGCTGGAGACTTTCTCAGAATTTCTCAGGCAGGGGAAGCTAAGGTGCTAAAATTCTTCATATAAAGCTGCCAGTTTCAGTGTTCTTAAATAGTTGAATACATTGTCATGGAAATATTTCATCCTGGCTTTACTTGCGAGAGAACGCACTGTTTTTCCATTTCAAAACAATCTTACTGCTGCAGTTAAAAAGAAGCATACACGGGTTCTCAGTTACAGCACACTGCAATTAAATATTTGTTATCTGCCCATCCTCTTTTTTTTTTGGTAAGTTCTGTTTTGAAGGATACCTTCTGAGAAGTTAACCTTTCAGGATGGAAACTGTAATCTCCTAGAGCTGATCATCTGATCATCTAGAGCTGATCCTGTCCTGACAAGAAGCTCTCAGTAGTTACAGGAGGGCATTGATTCCTGTTTGCCAAAGCAGAGATATGTACAGAGCTGCTGCCTTTAGAATTGCTGCTGCGTGAGTTCAAGGTTCCCCACAGACAATGGTGAGAATAGGTCTCACAACAGCTTTGGAGCAAAGAGGAACAGAGCAGATGTGCTTTGCAAAGATCAGTGTCAGAGAAGAAATAGACCCAGGTCTCCTCACTCCATTTCTTTGCTTTTGTTGCAGTAGTTCTTGAGGCGCTGGGTTCATGCAGGGCCTGTACAGGCAATGGAGTCATCAGGGCTGGCCACCAATCTTGGCGGTTTCAAAGGCTGCAAATACTGGAAAGGGATCAGTGACTGTGCTGGGCTGTAATCTCTGTCCCAAGCAAAGCCAGCCTGGAAATTATCCCCAAGGAGAAGGATATATGGCATGCTTACAGAGCTGTTTGCACACTGTTTTGGCAATCTAGCTGCAGGGGTCTACTGAGACCCCCTGAGACCCCTGACTTTGTCACCACTGGAACAAACTGGGATGTTGCTTTTATGTCACAGCACCTCATTTTGGCTTGTGCTGCACTGAATTTTCTTACCAGAGTGGCTTGCCCTCTTGGAAAATTATGAAAGGCCACATAAATGTGTGCGCACTGTCCAGCAGGAAAACTGTACTGATTGATTTGCAGCCAGGCAGGGCAAGTCTCTTAGTAATTAGCAAAATCACTCCTCACCCCGGATAGCATGCAAGTCACAGTTCACAGGTTATCCTGTTTCAAAGCCCTTTACTAACTCCTCTTCCTCAGCTTCACACCCAGGTCCTGGAATTGGAAACTCTCACAGCACCCATTCATCAGAATGGAGGTGTGGGATGCGTCCTCCTCTTGGGGACAGCAGGGGGGGTGATAGGAGGACTGGAGGCAGAGCAGCAGGCAGGAAGGTTTGCAGGGAAGAGAGCAAAGAAGAGGGATGATGGGGGGAGAGGGGGCACGAGCACCTCGAAGTGCTGCTGCTTCGCCACGTGCCTGCAGACCTTCGCATCGGTTCTCAGAGCGATGTAGCACAATTCGCAGTGTAACGTCCGCGTGTTACTTTTTGTAAGTCGTCTCCTACTCTCCCTATTTTCAATGTTCCTTGATTTTTGGAGACTGTTGTAAATAAAAGATTTTGACACTGGCTCGTTTGGCTCCCTCACACCACAGGTAGGGCAAGGCGATGCTCCAGCTTCACACAGGGCTGGAGGAGGACTGGCTCAGGTGAGGGCTTCATCCATGTTTTCTGGGGCTCTTTTACTCCTTTGTTCCACACAGTGCTGCTGCCAGCACATGGAGATTGTTCCCCCGCGAGAATGGGATTCAGCAGCTCCTGTAGCACTGCAGTTCCCCAATGCCCGGCATGGACTGTGAGGGTGTCCTATGGGGA